ACTCTTCTCCAGTGTGTCTGCAAACAAGCAACAGTAGCTCCTCTTGAAGGACAAAATACTCAAAACAAAGGCACCAATAGCATTGATTGAGAGAGTTGTTGCTTTTTTCTTTAAATGAGAAAAGACAGATTTGAGGCAACTTGTTTTATTTGTGATATAAAGCAGATAATCCCAGGCGCTTCTATAACCTCTGACCTTGACTCTGTTTAGATCACAGGCTGTCCTTTATTCTGCAGCAGACATATTAATATGAACGGCTAACTTGTACTTACTCTTGCTCGTCTTCTGAGGAGGATTCAGAGTCCTCTTTATCCCGGATCACGGCTGGCATTTTCACTGCAAAGGGGGGTTCGATCTGCCCGGAGAAATCTTCGTGGGACCAAGTATCTAGTGTTTACCCTGGCATCTGCAACATCCAAGGGCAAACACAGTCACTTCTAAGATGATCTCATAAAAACGCCGATGTATTAATAACACTCTGCTCCACGACAGCTTAACACGAAGACTGCAACACTAACACCGTCTTACATTGATTTACAGTTAGCATGCTCTCACCTGAGAACCGCTGCTGCTTTCTAAGTGTGCCTGCTGTGGCAGTGAAATCATCTTAACACGTTATAGACAGTCTATGGTTAAGACAAAACCAAACTGCTAAATAAAGCGTTACTTTTATGTCTGCACGCGTTGTCAACTACGCAAAGTCTGCTTAATTTGACACCACTGAGGTTTTTATAATGAAGTACAAACACACAGCGACAGAAAGAAGGTACTTTCGCCTGCTCGCTTATTTCCCAAGGGATCGCCACAGCAAATAGATCCGCGTATTTTGACTATTACGCGCGGATGCCCTTCCTTTGGGCTGGGACCAGCACTTGAGAGTACATTAGCTTATAACACTCTGAGGGTGGGTTTGTGTTTCCTCCCGGAAACGAACCGGGAACCTTTCACATGCAAGGCAAATGAGTTAACCACAATACCCCGGACCACAAAAACTTGCCTTGTATTTCTGTGGAGGCTGCTAACAGTAAGCTAGTTGGTATCGCCAGGGCCAGCAATCGCCGTTAATCTTCCTGTAACTACAACAAGTGGATAGCAACAGAGAAAGGCGCATGCGCGCGACAATATTGATCCACGTGACGAAACTTTGAACTGCCCGTACATTTAAAATAAATAGCAAAAACATTTCAATAGAAATATTACAAAGAGTGATTTCCTTCATATATTCTCTATATTTTGATATTGTTGTGTTGCTTCAGTTGCTGCACAGTGAGCTGGTGTGCCTTAATGTTTAATAACATTTATAATATTTTATAACTTTTTTAAAGCATTTTCCAAAATACCGGGACCCCTCAAATCTACATCTATTTTTATATAAAAGAAATGCATGGCTTTCAAAGAGTATTGAATTAATATTGTGAGAGAATATATATATATATACTTCCAGTGGATAAATGCTTGTTAACATCGTATTTTAGACCGTGTTTAGTCGTAGATTAGTTGAGTCAAAATTCGAACGTCTTTTGCATTATTTCACAAGTCTTTCTATAGATGCGGTTTTTCATGTTCACAATTACCTAATAATATATTTAATTAAGATTTAGATTCGGAATTAGTGCGAACGTTACAAAGGTGGCTGCCAAGTGCCAAGCCTTGCTCGTAGAGGCACGTCACTGCGCATAATTCTCTTGCTCTACAGCTACTCTTTGTTTGGACGCAGTCTAGCTTACTGTCCACACGCGACAGGATTGCTATATGTAGATTGGTTAGAGGGAAAAATAGGCGGAACCCTAACGCCTGAAATCGCCAATCACAATCATGGTACGATTAACTGGAGCCATTTTTAAGCGCTCTTATTGGTTAACCCCACGAGCCAAGATTGAAAGACTCGCCACTCGGTTGGCTTCAGTCCCACTTTTTCTAGCGCTAGTATACTCCTGTTTTGTCGGGAATATGATAGTTTGACAGGCGCAGTCAGGTAATTACATGACGTACTCGTGATATTTTAAAGTCTAATAGGCTAGCTAATTGTAGAAACCTGCTTAATCCAGGGTTAGCTTGTTATGTCATATGAGTTACTGATGTATTGCCAGCTAATGTCTTATGTTAGACACGAGATAGAAATACATCTATTCTTCCGTCCAATGCTAATGTTATATAACCGGGGTTTGTACTGACCTGTAGTTCGGAGTGGTGTGTCCTGCAGTGAACCGGCAGAGTTTTCCTCTCTGACAGGTGCTTCTTCCACACAGAAGAGATGAGTCGCTTTCTGAACGTCCTGCGGAGCTGGCTGGTGATGGTGTCCGTCATCGCGATGGGAAACACCGTGCAGAGTTTCAGAGATCACAGTTTTCTGTCCGAAAAGCTCTACACAGGCATGCCAGAGTTTGGTGAGAAAACTGGATTTTGTTTTCTGACAGAAGTGGAATGTGCAATCTGACAACCTTAAAAGTAACGTGATTATTAGTTTGTGACTCTAGTATTAGTATAAGTTAGGCAAACACCACACGCTTCGAATACCAAGCAACACTTTATGTTAAAATGCACGTGATGATCATCAACTAATTGCCTATTAGCCTGCATATCACTGGCGTGCAGAGTCTATATAGAGCACGTATAAATGTTTTATTAATCATAATCAGAATATACAAGGCCGTTTCTCCCTAATAGGAGCCAAACCAATAGTAGTAGTTATTAGCAAGACTTCACTTTAGATTGGAAAATATATACTTAGTTTGAAAGCATTCATTTATAATTAGCCCTTGTAGCCTTTGTAGTATTGTGTTGCCTTGATCTGAACTGCAACAATAATTCTAATCCTGTGCAATCACAATATTGAATTTCTTTTCTTACTTTGTATTAAAAACTTGAATAAACCTAAATAGTAATTTAGGGCATTAAAATATTTATAATCTTCACCATAGTAAGTAGTATTGCAGAAAACTTCTGTACTGCAGCACACTTCCAGAAAAATGCACTTACAGGTGTCATAACAAACCAGACACCGCTCACTGGACGCTTTATTAGGTATACCTGTTCAACTGCTATCTCACTACCCAAACATGTGGCAACAACTCAGTACAATATGTGGACCCTTGAAGCAGCAAAAGACTGCAGCAGATGCGACTACTGTCAGCTAAGAACAGGAAACTGAGGTAACAAGGGATCAGCTAAAATGGACAACTGAAGACCAGAAAAATGTTTGGTGGTCTCATTTTCTACTTTGACATTCAAATGATAGGGTCAGAATTTGTTGTAAAACAACATCAAAGTATAAATCCATCCAAAATCCAATTTTTCAGGCTTGTGGCGATGGTGTAATGGTGTGGGGTATTTTGGGGGGGGACACTCTGAGCCCCTTAGCACTAACTGAGTGCTAAATTCCACGACCTGACTGAGTATTGTTGTGGCCATGTAACCATGGCCACAACAATACTCAGTAGTGTACCCATCTACTGGATATGTTCGGATCATCTCAAACGGTCTCAAACATGTCAGTGAGTTCACTGAGCTCAAATGGCCTCTGTAGTCACCAGAAGTCAATCCAATAAAACACATTTGGGATGCTGTGAAAGATTTAAGGCAGTTCTGAAAACATAACAAGGTCCAACCTGGTACAAGCATGGTGTAACTAATAAAGTGTCCGGTTAGTGTATAGGATCTTAGAATTAGATAATAAATCAATGTCCTCAGCTAAACCTTCTCAAAAGGTAAAAAAAAAAAAGAAAAAGAAATGCTCCAAGAAACCCTCCTGAATTGTTCTCAACTAACTTATAATGGATACTCTCTATCATGATATATTGTATCTGTATTTATTTAATTTCTCAGTAAATGGTCTCCAAGCTCGAACCTTTGGTATTTGGACGCTGCTGTCATCGATCATTCGCTGTGCCTGCGCCATTGATATCCAGAATAGAACGTAAGGCATCGTGTTGTTTCCTGCACCATAAAAACTCATTTCTGGTGGAAGTCTATGGGTTATTCACTGTGTCACCCTGGCTCTCGCAGGCTGTATCACATCACCTTATGGACGTTTGTCCTGGCATTGGGCCACTTCCTATCTGAGGCTTTTATCTACAAAACTGCGCCGCTGACTATTGGAGTCATGGCCCCTCTCATTGTGGCAAGTGAGTAAGGAATAATAGTGATAATAACCTCTGTTGGACTCCCCATCAGGACGTCTTAAGTAAAATCACAACACACTGGAATACACAGTTAAAAGTACATCACTGTGTTTTTGCAGGTTTTTCCATCATAGGAATGCTCATTGGATTCCAGTGTTTTCCAGAAACACGGGAGGAAGTTGGAGCGCGACAGAAAAAGCATAACTGAGTCCCAGCAATCTGGAGTTTCCTGTTGTTGAACTGAATCCACCTCCACCAGCCTTCTGTGAACTGGTCCTCGTGTGCTGCTTCTTGCCTTGAAGAACAGGATATACTGATGTAAATTCACTTTCTACTGTGACATTATTTACATTTACACAGATCAGCCATGACATTAAAACCCCTCAAAGGTCAAATAAATACCATTATCTTGTGAAACTACAATATTCTGCTGGGAAACGTTGGGACCTGGGATTCCTGGTCCACGACTGCAGTTGATGATGTGCTCAAACACAGGAAGATGCTAGTAGTCCCTAATCCAAATGAGCCTTTGTAGGATGTGCCCCAGCAAGGCTGATCTTTGGGGACAACCACTGCTGTCATGCTCCCAATCAGCACATCCTCAAAGACCCTGCCTTAATGAGGAATCAGAGCTGTTTTAGCGGCACAAGAGGAACATAGCAGATTAGGCAGGTGGTTTTAATGTTGTGATCGATTGGTGTATATCTTACAATACAGTGGTCAATGTGTGCTGCTTTAGAATTTGTAATAATTTCATATTTAAAAGAGCAATATCTGGAGTTTTGTGTTGTCTTAACAGCACAGATAGTGTATTCTTTCTCAGTCTCGGTTTTGCTATGGTGCTGCTGACTGACCGCAGAAACAGAACCACAGTACACATTTTCTCGTCACCATGATTGTTTTATTGCACCAGAGCAGAGAAAGTACAGCTTTCTAGTCTTTCAATCAAAGAAAGCCCAGATGTACCAAAGATCTCGGAAGGCTACGCAGTAGAAAACCACGCGCCTCATTAGAAAAATCATACAGCAGAGGTTGGTTTGATGTTTGTTGTGTGCTGTGAAAAATTTGTACACCCTGGAAATTTATGCACAAATAACTTTGTATAAAACTTAATTTTTAAAAAATATCTTGATTTTTTATGTATATTATTGCTGTAATAATTGTGGCAATTGTATTTTGTAGTCTTGTAATTCTTTGTTTGAAGTGTCCTTCAATGTGTAATTGTGTTTTTGCACGATTTGTGCTAAAGACTGAAATCCCCATTTTGTTCTGTTCTCATATTTGGGTTAAAGAAAGCATAAATCTCCTGATTTAAACGTGGCCACATTGTGGTGAAATACAAAAATACATAGACACATTTAGCTAGGGCTTATTTATCTATAAATATATAGATTTGTTCTTAATTTAGTTTCTGTTTTTGGTACAGTGTTCAAAATCCCATAGTGTGTATTGCAGTTTCATTTTTTCCTTACTGACTGGATCAACTACACATCATACCAAAATAGCAAAAACTCTAAGGGTGTGGAAACTTCACAGCACTTTAAAGTGCCTAAGACTAAGAATAACTAGAACCTCTCACAGACACATAAAAGTCCTAATTAAATATCAACATTTCGAGACAACTTCCTAAAAATACCTGAAGTAAAAATTTGTACAAATACTGGTTACACAGCATAAAATACACACAGGCAACAAAACGAAGGAAAACACTAAACCACTTGAGCCCTTGACCCTGGGCTCTAACAGGTGGAGGGCATTTGATTGGCACTGTTTAGGTCCACTCAGGATCGGTGCACAACTGTGCAAAGTGGTGCCACATCTGTTGGACACTTGGGACACTTACTGACTATAAAAAATAAGATGTGTTAAGCCTTTAAAGTCACCAGAATTTAACCACATTGACCATAAAGAGGAGATTTTGGCCATCTTATATTTGCTTGCCAATACAATTATTCACACAAAATTAGGTAATATTTTCCACAAGAACTGTGCTGCATTACTCCGACTCTGGCATGTATTGGCCCAACACCCAAGACATATTTCTGATGGATTTCCCTTCGATTTGTCGCCTGTTTGTATAATTCTACAGTACCAAAAGGAAAAAGTACACATAAAAACTGTGCAAAATGACAAGGGCAGTAGATCTGATTAGTCGCAATTTCCCATTGTGTTGTTCGTATTTTCTGCTGTGCTGACATCCTTTACGTTCCAGACATTCTTGCCTCTTGTGTCTTTTTAAAGAGGTCAATCACAGTGAAATGGGACCAATATTGACCACCCCCCCTCCCCCTCAAAGTAAACTCAGATGCATTGCATCAGCAGTATTCACAAGTAATACTGTCATCCTGAACGGCAGACGACAGATACGAAAGCCTCAATTAGGCGAAAGGTGACTTGGCTGCCTGACAGGTAAACACGTCGCAGTCCTTAATCTGCATTGAATACACATATTCTAAACACAGAACACTAACATGAGACACCTTCATCAATGTAAAGAGAGAGTTAAATTACACACAATATTGGTCATATATTAGAAAACTTTCAATATTGCCAGTCAAATGCATAAAACACTACATTAACACAGAAGAAAACTAGGAAAGGCATTCAGTTAGATTGAAGGTTGGAGTCACTAAAGTGGCAGATACATTGCACCTAACAAGACATGTAAAATGCCATCATCCCATGATGTAAAAACCTTGAAAGTGCATTCCCCCATGGTGGTTTGGGGTGTAATACCAATGTGGATTTCTGCATCACAGAGTCCAAACAGAACTCCGTAAAGCAACACTGTTCTCTGTGATTCAGCCTCCATGTTCTTACAGTTCACAGCTTTCAGCTCCTCAGTCGTTTGTGCATGATTATGCGTCTCGATGTGTCAGTTTTTGTTCTTGTTTTTTAATGTGTCTTATTTGTTTTTAATCTGTACACGGTGATATTCTGATATCTTGGACAGAGAAATATCTGTCTTCCTCACAACCTCTCCTCTTTCAAGATTCCAGGTGGAGAGATTTCTCTTTCCAGATCAGCAGTAATTGTCTGCAAAGGACAGACGTGATGCAGTAAAATGAGTGAAGTGGCAGCAGAGTTCAACATCAATATTATATCAGCAACAAACATCTCTTCACATTCAGTACACCTCATCACGTGTCTTTTCACAATGAACTTCAGATGAGTTGCAATCACCGGATAAACGTTTAATTCCACAATGACACTGAGTCTGTTTGTGCGATTTAAAGGGCTGATTGTGCAGTCGAGTACAATGCGCTGCAGTTTAACCGGTAACACCTTCAAGTAAATGCAAACATGATCGTGTACACAATCGTTAAAACCCTTTTTTCACCCTACCTTGGCAGGTGTGTGTTTTGGTGTTTGTGAGCTTGTGGGTTAATGTCAAGACTGCCGTTGCCAGGGGCTGCCGCACGACGTGGCCCCGTAGTCCTGCACCGATGACAGGGAGCCTGCAGGCTGGAATGATAGCTTTGGGGTCACACCTCTGAGGGGCCCTAAGGGGTCCCCCTCATCTTCCACCTTCTCTTTCATAACACACCACCAGTGCATCCAGAGACACCTGCACACCCAGCTATACCACAGCCTTTGATCAGGAAACTGCATGTATCGTTAGTTCTGCTTTATTTATTATTTAGATACATCTCTTGTTCTTTTTTCTTTTCTTTTTTAAATCTACTGCACTACTATCACTTTGACTTCCACTGGTGTGCAGGATTACTGGTGTTTAAGCTGCGTTTGTAGTGTTAAAACTGGAATATCAAAAGGACAAAAAGGACAAAGAAAGAAAGCAAGAGGTCCCGAGCCTGACGTAAAGCAAGGCGACAGGTGAGCATGAACATCTCCGAAGTTACAAAAGTCACCACATATTTAGTTTTAATACTTGGTTTTAATATAAGTTTTTTTTAGCTGAAAATATTTATTTGACAGCTCTCAACTGCACCCGTTGTAAGCATTAAATCAAAGCAACGCTTTTCAAAGCAAAGAATAAGTGTTTTTAATGAGAGCGAGCCAGAGAGCTGTTAGACGAAGAATAGCTGAGAGAAAACGACATTTTTAGCAGCTTGCGGAGAAAGCTGCAACCAGGGCAGCGGGACGACCGCCTGCATTCGCTTTGCATCCAAGCCTGCTGCAGCAGACTGCAATGTAAGTGACTGCAGAGAAGCCGCCAGCGGAAAACCACTCAGAGCGCATTCAATCCAGAGCCAGGGTGGGCTCTAACACACATCCCACCTCTGACTTCATGTAACACACACAGTCGTACTTACACTCACTGTCTGCACCTCAACCTGTTGGTTGGCCTTCTGCCGTCGGAGGTCAGATTTGATAAATCCTGCAATAATAATAAGAATATTATGAAACACATTAAATTACTGATGATTTATTTTGTGCAAAATAAAGTTAAATTTAAATAGAACAGCATACGGGTATGGAAGTTGTAAAATTGTTACTCCCATGTTATCTTCTTGTATTTTATATAACATGTTTTCTTCAAAACAAATTTTCTGGGTCAGCATGCAGAATATCCTTTGGTGCTCAGAGATTATTGAATCAAAGATATCCCCCTTCCTGTGACAACTCAGAGAGGATGGAGGAAGGATATCGAAGGATATGCACAGTTTCAATGGGTAAAGCTAAAAGCACTACTGGTATAACAGTCTCCACACTTATTCTCAGCTTAGTGGGGTATGTGAACAAACCTTTAACTTCTTTGCGTTGTTTCAAAATCTTTGTGCTTTGCCTCTGTGCAGACAGACTGATAAGTGCACAAGTAAGATATTGCAAGAAGTATACTGTTACTTACACATGCTTATCGGCTTCTGTAATTCAATTTGAAGAGTAGATGGACAATACAGAAGACCTTAACAAGCATGGTTGTGGTAAAAAGAAGGTACTCCTGCCATTAAGGTTTTACATGTCAGAACATAACAAAAAGGTCTTAAGGAAAAAAGACCTACTATTCAAATAAATTCGGTGCATTTAGAGGTGTTTCCAACAAGATAAAACCTCCTGCTGCAGACGCCTCTAAACACATGGTTTCTGCTCTTACCTCTGTATGATGTCAGTGACAGTGTATATCCTTACCTTTGTCACTTTAGGCATGCAGAGCACACAACCAGAAAAAAGCTGACTTAAAAGGAAGGGTCAGATTGTTTCAGACTCGGAGTAGGCCACACCAAGGCTTACAATGAGGCATATGAGTTATTTTTAGCTGTGAATCATGCAAAGCTACTCTAGTAGAGATCAACGATAAAAATGTAGCGCTAAAAATATGTATTTTTGGTCCTCTTTAACTACAACTTTAATATAGTGTCAAAAGTAATTTAGCCACTAGGAGGCAGCATACGCCTATGAAAGAGACGAGTCTTTGCAAGTCCAAGTATTACACAAAATGGTTTCACATAAGTTGGTCTGAGTATCACACACAGACATGGGAAAGAAAACAGCCCATATCTACAGAGATGAGGTTAACATCTCACCTGTCACCACTGTTCCTATTAGCAGAAAGATGCACAAGAATATGTTTCCGGCTAAAGTTCCCCAGTGATCCATGATCTTTCCCTGAGCTATGGTGAAAATGATTCCAAAGATCTGAAATGAGAGTGAGAAGCTCTTTAAAGGCCCAAACAACATGACATGTTGTGATATGTTATTTGTTTGTTCTCTGACTCTGCAGTCATACGTGCTGAACGTTACTGACCTGAGCTGAACAGTTAAGCAGTCCGGACGAGGTCCCCTCCGATTCTGGGTAGGTGAGCTCTACTGCATACTCGAAACCCAGAGGCAGGTATCCTGTCATAAAGAAACTGGAGAAAGACAGAAAATATAGGTGAACTAAAATATAAAACCAAGTGTCTGATCTGTTCAGCGTAGAATTTTGTGACTTAAGTATTTTTAACCAGCAGAAAAAATGCTCCACAAATGTAAAAGTAGGACAAGTATATTGAGGTTTAATACGTCCTCTCTGGGTGAAAAGCAGACAAAGGAATTGCTATGGAAACCAGATATGGGCATAATCAGCTTACCATAAATAGCAATTATTGACAAAGCCTGTGGACTGTGGAACACTAAGTTTTGCTCAAAAAGCAGCATTCCTGCTACAAAGAGACTGAACAACACAGAGCTTCATCAGTTTCGAGCGGGACTGTAAATGTGACCAGTATGATTCAACATTACCCCGAGGTTAAAACTAGTGTCAATGCTATGCCAACCCGCATGGGCCAATAAAGCTTCTGTTTAGCTAAGCAGTTTTCTAAACACTTCCAATAAATGGATTTCCAGCTCCACAGAAACCCTTTAGCTTCAGAAACAGCTGGCAGCCCCTCAGCATTTCTCACTTTGCTGACGCTTGCTGAAATGTTTTCTTTAAATAAATAAAAGTATGAGAAAAATCTTTTTTTTCCTCCATCACATTTACATGAGAGAATATAAGAGATCATTCACAGCTCTGTTACCTGTTGGCTGCTAGAGCCTACTGGGATGTTTATGGCCATGGTGGTCCATATTCTTTAATGGTTACCTACCCTAAAACTCCAGCTGTAACGAACACCACCCACAGGTGACCCAAGTTGAGGGTGAAGGTGTAGGCCAGCATCCCAATTAGAGAAAGGATATACACGGCCAAGGTGGTCTGTCTGTGGAGACAGGAGCATAACATCAACAATAAAGTTTAAGACATTAAGCCATGTATCATAGCACATGTTATGACGGGCACAATAAGGACTAACGCAAGCGATGATGTTCAACCCCCCCCCAAAAAAAAAAAATGAATGCCATTATTTTGTGTCATCAACGACTTGTCACAACAACGCCAATCTGCAAAAACAAATTCACTCTGTTGAAGCTGCTTCTTGTACAACCACGCGTAAAACAAGCAGCAAAACATTTTTGTTAATATAGCACAGTCCTCCGGCTCACTCTGGATCCACACTCTAAATCTGGGCTTAACTGCTCTGACAGATAACCATCCTAATGGCATGTGAGGAATCTGTGGATCTTCCTCTTATCATAAACATTTTTATGCCACATTAATGAAGGCAGTTTATCAACACTAAATCAATTGCAGAATAAAGCAAGTGGTCATTTTGTAGAAAGAAGTAATGTATGATTACTGTTTTTCCATCAAATGCAGTGGCAAAAGGCTTGAGAAGCTACTTTGAAGTACCAGTAAAGGACAGCCTGCCAGTTCAGATAAGCAGAGAGCAACACCACAAAGAAAACTCGGCTATGTTGTATCCTAATACGCGCCTCTTTTAATCAAATAGTCTAATTCACTTGGACATCTCTCTGTGAATGGATGAGTGACTTGACATGAGTGATGAGTACAGCTAACATTGCAGAGAAGAAGTGAGAATGCTGATCCTGAGGACTGAAAATGACATTTCCTTTCAGAAGAGCATCTTTTTACATGTGCACATGAAGCTCCATCAGAATCTGACTGTAGCAAACAATGACATTAGTTTATTTGAATGACATGGTTTACCACTCCTTTCAGCGAATGGCAGGAATCTTAAACTAGATGGGATCACCACAATTGGACAATAGAAGACTGCAAAAGTGTCGCCTGGTCGGATGACTCTCAATTTCTGCTGTGACATTCGGATGGTAGGGTCAAAAGTTAAAATAAATAACATGAAATCATGTATTCATCTTGCCTTGTATCAATGGTTTAAGCTGTTGATGGTGCAATGGTGTGAAGTTCATTTTATACTCAGCCTTTTATGATCACAGTGTAGCCATCTTCTGATGGACATGGTGTATATTTAGGATTTGACTCAAATGTAGGTTCTTGTTAGAAAAAACAGCTCAGTGTTTGATTTTAGTCCACATCATTGAAAAACTGGGTTTAAAAGAAATACATTACTTGTAGGTTTTGGTCTTGTCCAGCCATATGCCACATATGAGGGAGCCCGCCATGCCAGCAATGACAATGGTCAGACCGATTCTCCCAGCATTCACCTCTTCACCCTGAAAGAGAAAATGTTGGCATTTGCACCTGTGAACTCACAATATGCAGTCATTTCCTAGAAGCACTGAGCCGTAACAATCATACTCCTGTTATCTGTGTCAGGACCATATCTTTGGATGCTTTATAGCTCAGTGTTAAATGCGGTCAAACAGTGTCTACCTGCTGGGCCTATTCAATCTGAGCATAAGCCACAAGGAAGACTAGAGAAAGTAAGGCAGAAAATATAAAGTTGACAAACATGAAAAAAAAGGCTATAATAGGGACTTACAGGATAGTGTTCAATGATCATCCGGTTCAACAGTGTGGAAATAGCATAGAAGCAGCCAACGTTCAAGCCTGTAGACCACAAACAGAAAACAGTTTATTCTGAGACAATCTGCACAGAAAGGTGGTCTCATCTGGGGACCAGATGGGTCCTGGTGCTTCTACCTAAAAACTCTTGAGAGCCTCACACAATATAAAAGACATTATAATCAGATTATTTGAGCATTTTTAGGGTGTATACTCCCCCTACTCAAAATCTTTCTCCTTTTTTGAAAGCTTTAAACTGAAATATGAACATTTCTGTTTCCCAGCAGCTTATCATGTTAGCATTCCAACTGACTACATGTGAATCAATAAATGTGTGTGGGGGGGGTATTAGTAAAACAACTGCACAGGATTCTTCTTATAATAACTGAAGGTAGACAATTGCCAAAAACTAAAGATGGAGGAGAGGAAATGGATTTTAAAAGGATTAGAAAGAAAGCAAGAAGTCTATAGTCTGAGAAACAGCTGCTAACACACTCAAACAGCCCTTTAACATGAACAACTTTGGTCTGTCTTTCCTATGCTGTCACTAATTAGTGACCTTTGAGCCAAAAAATGCTATCACAAAAAACAATCAGGTCAGTGCTACACAAACTCTATTAGTTTTAATGACTCGCTCATATATGTCCTCAGAGGCCGATAAGGACTGTGAACGAGGGTTACATGGACCATAATGCACAGTATCCTTAACTGTTGTCAGGGTAAAAGTTTAGTCCTAGAAATGGTGGGGCTGACTGCTACAGTTTGCATGTTTAGTACAGGTAAGAGGGAGGAACCCACCATAGCTGACCACCAGGAGCATGAAGGGCTTGTTGCGCAGCAGACTCAGGATGGAGGCTGTGTAGGAGTACTCATCAGGCTGCATGTTCCTGGCCTGTGCCTGGGCCTGGCTGGGTGGGATCTCAGGTTTCTCCTGAAACACTGAAAAGCAAACACAAACAAACGCAGCATTTCTGGAGGTTACTTTGGTTTTTAAGATATAAGATTTAGTAGGACAGCACCGGAAAAACACCGGACAGGGGCAAAGAGCAAAGTTTAGTGTGATGCTGAGGTAAGAGCAAAAGTGGACTCCAAACATGAGTAAACATGCTTATAAAGATAAGATATCAGTCTCCAAAGCAAGTTTTAACACACGTACAGCAGCCCTGAACATCTTTAGACATTGTCCAGCAGAGTTACATGTGAGAATTTGGAATAATCTTCCAGCTCTCCAGTACAAAGTCCATGTGATGCTCGACTGAGCCTTTTTAAGAAAATGCAGGTAAGTGTCTAACACATCAGGTGACATCTGACCTGCTCCCTGGACATCAAGTCAGCCACCAAATTTAACCAGTAAAAAAAAAAAATTCTATACAAAGGTGGCTATTGTTATTACTTTTCTCCTCCTAGCATAAGTTGTAGATTAACAGGTTTTATTGAATAACAGGTTGACATTTTCAGTATTTCTTCTATTTATTGATTCCGTAACACTTTCTGTATTGTTATTGCATTTAATCTTTCACTATTGAGTTTAGTGAGTTACCAAATATGATGCATATTCCTGACAGCATAAATATACATTATGTGTAGTTAGAATTAGCAGTGTCTGCTTCACATGTGACTATATATATTTTTTTAAATAAGTAAAACCTGCTTGATGGGACAAGCAGATATACCTGCGCAGTATGTAAAGTGAAACACAGATGTTCTCTGCACGTGACACGACAATCAGCAAAAGCTGGAATCACAAACCTTTGACCTCAAAGGTCACAGTCACAGGTGATTGTGTCCCAAGGATTTGCTTTGAGTTATTTAGTCAGCATATCCAAGTAATCAAGGGACTGGTTCTCCACCATTGTTTCTCTGACTTTCTCTGACTTTTAGGGGGGGTGATTTTATAAAACTCTGCTATGACTCCCTGAGCCCCTGCCTGTATTTCACGTCGTGTCAAAACTCATCTCATCAAAATGTGGACAATTACAGCAATTACCGCAGCTGCTCATCTGGTGGAGTTGAAGGGATGTTGAGTTTTTTGCTAGAAAGCACACCTCGGGCAGGCTCAGTTTCCCAGCAGAGCTGGCTGAGGAGCAGACATCTCTATGTAAAGCTCTGCCATACACAAGTCACAAACTTTGCAGCAAAGATGATTTCAAAGACTCTTTTGTGTTCTCATTTAAAACAACAGTGTAATTCTTCTAGTGGACAAAGGAGTAAAGGTGAGGTAACACTGGAAACTACAAATTGTCAAGATGATGCTTTGCTTCATATATTTTCACACCAATAGCTGTGGGCGCTGAGTGACACTTAAGGTGACTTGCAGTGGGCGATTGCTGCATGAGTGAGTAAAGAGCTCTGACAAGGACTCTAACCCATTAGCTCTTTTACACAAACGTGAGGCTCAATCAAGACTTGAATCCACGCGTCTCCAAGGCCAGAAAGGGCGGTACAAGATCACATCAATGCTGGCTGGAAGCTGCAAACAGTGGCGTCAGTGTCTACAGAAGACCAATGCATAAAATTCACTGATGATTCTGTGACGCGGCACACAGATTTTCTGTTCTTTTCCTGATTTTCTTCCCCTGAAAATTCTCCAGGTTCTTCAACATGATTTTAGGTTTCAAACAGAAATGGTCAAAATGGTTCTACAAAGGCTCCAGCCATAACTGACATGTATAAACACTCATCTTCCCTTTAAACACTTACCGATGACCACGAGAACAAAGATGGCGGTGGCCATGCCTGCGCTAATGTAGAACATGATACTGATATGATGTGCCAGCTCGTCCATGTCATCCACGTTCGGCACGAGGATGGGTGGAACCAGGAACCCAATGGCAATACCCAACTGTAAGCGAGAGACACACAATTAAGAAAATGACCCTATGGACTGAGGTGATGCCTGCGCACAGACACATATGTCCAAATTAAAAAAAGCTATAACGCAAAACACGTCACTGAAGACATAAAGAAGGGTAAAGTTTGCACTTTGATATGATGCCCTGTAAAAAGCAAGAAACACCCCAAAAACATAAACAAAAAATGAAACAAGTAATTGATGCAGAAAACGTCAATGCCTGTTTGGCATATGACTGACTGCTACAATCAGTGTGAGTGATGGTACACCTCTTATTATAAAACATCAAATATATGCCTATTTGCCATATGTAGCAAAATAAACCCGCCTGTAGTCTTTTGTTTAACAGAGACAGGTAACACCGTAAGTCACCATTCTTTTGTAAACTGCCTGACATGAAGATTACATGTCACCAAATTTAACTTTTAAAACCCCAGCCAACCTCAGTGAAAAGCAACACTTCTAGTGGATCTTGGGTAAATGGGAAGGGAGTGGGGGGTAAACGTTCCAAATTTGAATACCACAGCAGCAGTGCCAACATCCTCGGCGTCCTACTGTCACAAGAACATTCCAGAAGGGACACCGGTCCCTCCACTCTAGGGGAAAGGTGAGAGAAGGAAAGGTGACGAGACACATTCCCGATTGTGAGGAACAAACCTGTGAAGTGTTTGACGAGTGGAAACACAGAAATATGTATGATCCCTTCAGTCGTCCGAGAATGTTACACCCACTGTTACACTTGTTGCCTTCTACAGCCTTCAGACAGATTAGAACCTTCGCTATAATGCTTACCTTGTTGCCAGTGTACTAGAAAAAGCTCTAGAAAACATTCACAACAGACACTCACACATTTGAACCAAACTAAAGACTTTTTATAACCTCGTCAAAACTATGCAAAACAGGCTCATTGTTCATTAGCTCGAAATTACAGTGACCTCGCTTGAAGTTTGATGTCTGTTTGATCTTCAAAGCGTCACAGGCTTTTCTGGAACCCTTACCTAATGTTTTGCTAATGTGAACTGTTTCTAAATGTCCAAGGTATTACATAAAACGACTTCAGCCAGAAAACTTGGAAGCATCCAGTGTTAGGGACCGCAGCCAAAGCAATTAAGCCATGGTGAGCAAGTAAACATCGACAGCAGTGTGTCCTTTTCATCTTCATCGGCAGGGAGCGGGTTTAAAGCACAAAACAAGAACATTCATGACAAGCGCCGGTGTTTGGTCTAATGATGGAGGGAGAGGACACGGTTCAGCTTTGGTGGTTAAAGGGCACTACAGCGTGCTCAGAGCGGTCAATAAGATGAGAAAAGTGTTAGAGACTGTGGTGAGATCACAAAGCACTGATATGTAGCCACATTTGCTCTGTTTATCCACTCTTTACTTTAGATATGACTTAAAATTGCATAAAACTATCACTCTCTATGTTTTGTGGGTAAATTTTAGATTTCATTTGATGCATGTTGACATTTCCCGTGACATTTTTTGGAATTTTCAGATGATTTTGTCTGTCTAATGCTGTTCTCAGGATTTTTAAAAGGAAAGCAAAAGCAGTGAAACACACCCGCCCCAGCATGACCTTGCCATGCACACAGCATTCTTAGTGCAATCTCACTGTATAGTTAATTTACCCAAGGTGAGGAAACTTGCACAGAAGCAGGCAGCTCAAGAGGTGGAAGTCACCCGCCATCCCCAGCAATTTTCCCCTGGCTAGAAAGAACAAACCAAACACACATACAGACACAGAGGAAGTCCCTTTGACCACCACAATACCGGTATCCCTGTTTTTTACTGGAAAGATCTATACTCTGTTCACTTCTCTCCCTCTACCCTCCTCACAGTTTGGAAGTCTCTGTCAAACAATGGTTCCCTATCACATATTTCCTTCTAGTTTCTATCGGCAGATTTAAAAATGAAGAATTTATGAATTCATATTTTGATACCGGTAATCCAAGTAATGTTTAAACAGTAAAAATACTCAGTGAGGAGAGAAAGCTTAATGTAAACTATGCCCTTCTACTTCCCATATACTGCTTGCCTGGTATGTGAAGTACTTTAATAGAACTAAAATGGTTCAGCATCCAGCATGCTAACATGTACTGCATGCTGGATTCATCGTTTCTTTAAGAACCTTTACTCTGAAGGGATTACTAGCCATTAGTTTTCACCAGTGGAAAAGAAGACTTTGTTAAACCTGCAGACTCTGGAAGAAGGTTGGAAAGAAGAATCCACAGGAGGAGAGACACTCAATCACAAATCACAAAAAACAGAAACATGCTATTTTTTAATATACTGCACAAAGAGTTAAAGATGACAGAGCTCTCATTCACTCTCGCCCACTTTAAAGAAGAAAATTGAATAACACCATACACACATTTATTTTAACCCAGCAGGTAAACAAAGACACACCTGGTTTCCCAGAACCCCAATGGAACAGGCGGTGGACACTTCCTGCTGCCCAAACCACAGAGATGCAAGTCTGGAAGGGATGCCCAGGATATAAACGGTGGCCACCGAGCACACAAACTGTCCAAAGAAGGTCAAAGCAAACATGCTGGGGTCCGCCGAGCCCGTCTTGATCCAGGCCCCGATGCAGTTGTAGGCGGACCCCACCACCACAACATCTCTGATGCCCCGATTGTCGAGGAGCCACATGACGGGTAGGATGAGAGGGATGTAGGTGAGAAAGTAGATCATGGAGAGCCAGTCAATGGCCAGGGTGCCGATGCTGTAGAAGCGCGTGAAGATGTTGCTGATGATGCTGTACTGCAGCCACATAAAGGCATTGCTCATGGAGTAGGCGCTGAAGACGAAGAGCATCACCCACCGCCGTTTGTACAGCCTGGTCTCCATGAGCGGAAAGAGCCGCGCGGTGTCGATGGCTGATGGCTCCAAGGTGTCATCACCATCTCCCAGAGGCAGGCAGTGCACGTATTCTCGCAAGCTGTTTCTCTCTTTCCCTGTTGGGGTGCAATCATTGACCCTGGCCTTGTCGAAGCTGTCCGCCCACTCATGAGAAAGTTCATCCTGAGAATTCATGTTGCTCCCAGTGAAACTCTTCCCTCTTCCTTCAGGCTTCTGTGGCTCTCAACAGCTGAAGGGAAAAGCAAACAATTCTTCTTGTGTGTGCACTCTCTTAACACCATGGCAGCTTACCTGACTAGGCCCTCCCACCCAGCAGGAACTTCCTAAATGGTGATTATAACCAAGCTCGCCCGCTGATCCTAAACTGGAGATTACTTCCCATTACTGCTGGCTGATTTACCAGAGGTGAATCTGAGGTGCAGTTTAAATATAATGAGCAGTATATGAGTAGGCTCTGATTTCAGTCAACAATTACATACCCAGCTGCAAATGTCGGGGTTCGGCCTTCTTCTCTAGTGGTTTTAACACCAAGGATGCATTTTATTTTTCATTTAAAACTCCTACTTCCTTGTGAGATTGCATAAAAGCATAGCATGTAAATGTAAGGACGAACTACAAGAGCAACTTGGTTTTATTGCTAAGTATAGGCACATGACACTCACACATACATAAATGTGTCAGACGAGTTAATGTTCATTGAGAGGAATACTGAATGTGCACAGCTGCCATGCTGTGACACAGAGGGGAAGTGTCCCTGAGCACTGAAACATGAAGTGACGGTAACACACTGCTTGTTGACCAGTTATTAAGGTTGAGTGTTTCTGGTTCCTAAATTGGATTTACCAATGTGCAATCACTTTGTATTATGTCATCTGTCTCTGGCATTACAATACTGGCAGACCTGAGGATGGTCAGTTTACACAGTGCAGTAAGGAGGGATTAGCACAGTGGCACATTTATGTTGTGTTAAGTCACATGCCAGTACACTGCTGGTATGAGATTCAGCTTTAATTTGAAGATGTTTATATCCACATTTCTTTGAGCATGGGCTACTGTTATTTTTTTCTGTTTCTCTATAACACAGAAAATTTGAAAAATCAAGCATAACAATAATAATTATATTTTATAAATAAAAAAATCATTTCAATTAAGGAGCTTGTGCATACTGGTGGATTAACCATTACAGAAAGATAGCAGAACAAGCAAGCTTCCAAACTGTAACCTGTATAGAGATAAAATTAAACGCTTACATTTAGATTTGATATTCTGAGGGCTTTTCAGCTGTATTATTATTAAAGCAACAGCTATTAATTAATTATTAGTTACTCAGTTATTTTAGTTTGCACATGAACTGAAAGCATGGGTGTATGAGCCGTAGACTTAACAAATATGTTATGATAAAAGATGTTGAAGATAAGATGAGATAAGCTAAGCTAAGCTAAGCTAAGATAAGATAAGACAAGACAAGGAGACCTTTGTTTATCCCAGGGGAAAGTCTTTTGTGTTGGCTTCTTAGATAAGATGGAAATTTGGTGAAGTGTATCTTAAATGTGTAGTTAGCCGAGATGGTAAGTCAAATTTTCAGGTATCTGTACTTTAGTTGAGTATGTATTTTTGTGACAACTTTTTACTTTTATTCCCTACATTTTCAGACAAGTATCTGTACTTTCTGCTCCTTACATTTACAAAAATGGCTCGTTACTTTTGGTTTAATGCTTCTGAGGGAAGATATTATTGCACTGCAATGTGCGTCTTCAAATATCAACTAATTTGAGGATAAATGGAGGAAAGAGTTTCACACAATAGAAATTACTGTGAACCATGATCATTTTTGCTCACACTTGAGACACTTAGACTTGAGACTCTTAGGGAATCCCCACCTACTGAATAAAACTTTAATGTAAAGCCAAGTGTCTCATACTTCATAGAGTTTTTTTCTGACTGTACTCACGTGGATGCACGACAAGGTGACACTAATGACCTTCCAATGTGTGCAATGAGTCCTTGAATCTATATAAACGCTATATAAAAACTACTGCTCTTTGTCTTTGTCAACAATAGAGCACAAAAACGACAGATCAAAGCCAGCGATCATATTGTTTTTAAGTTCTTCGATCATGTCATAAGGT